ATCAATACATAGTATAAAACAAAGTCGCTTTCGCTGTATGTCCGTATGTATGCTTAGATCTTTAAAACTACGCAACGGATTTTGATGCGGTTTTTTTTATTAGATAGAGTGATTCTTAAGGAAGGTTTGTATGTATATACATATTGCACCCGTGCGAAGCCGGGGCGGGTCGCTAGTATTTAATAAAATTTTAAATATTTTTTATCAACAAACTATTCTTGTTTTTCATTGCTTTCATTTTTGCACATTCACCAGATATGGATGCACCGTTATGTGTATTTATTATTAGCACCATCTCTTTTGTTTCTGGTATAATCTACATTCATCATTCAGGTACTGTCTATTATTGATTGATTGATGTTAAGAGTGATTACATAGAGTAACGCAGGTAATTTATGTCTACGTCTATGTATGAGATACGAGTGATAATTTATCATTTTGACTGGCATTTAACACTTCAAAGAAAAATACTAATTTCTTGTTAAATGAAGTATGCATCAAAACGTAAAATCATTTATTTTTCATTACTTTCATCTCTACGTCGGACAATCAAAAAAGTAAGAAAAACATTACATTTAACTTTATTGTAGGACAAAGTTAGTTGAGTTGCATAGTTTATAAGAAAGCGAATTGCATGAGAATAATGACGTAGTTGGTGACTTGTGCTACTAATGTGATCGGTAGTAGAGCACCAACTGAGAGCATTCCGAACGTTGTCATCTTACTGAACGTACGTTTCTCCCACAACACTTTCTTAAACAGCCGTCTTTCATTCTCTGAAAAAAAAAAATATTCACAGCGTAGCGTCAGCCGTACTAATAATGTCTCCAGAGGGCCTAATACGAGTTTTGTTTGCGCTTAACGAGATCAAACTGTTACCGTGTTTAACTCTCTGATTGGTCGGTTCATTGAAGCCTGCCAATCAGAGCGCAGAAAAGCGTGTACGTTGTACTAATCTATTTCGATTTTTGTGGCCGGTCTATGTAACTTGACTGTTGACTCGCTGTTCCCTCTCTTTTGTGATCGCATGGAACAAAACTCAAATTACATTTGCTGATATTATTGCCGTCCAAAAACCCAATATTTTTTGTGCAATAGACCGAACAGTAAACAATCCATTATAGTTACTTAACTTTACTTTTAAATTGTGTTTTTTCTTCGTACTCCTTAAACTTAGTTTTCGTTATATTTGATGCCAAATTATTAACTAAATCTGAGTATATTTTCTTTAGACTTACGTGTGCAATGTGTATTCTTCATGAGCAGTATGCATGTAGTCTCAGCCTGCTCTACAGTCATGTAGAACTTCTCGCAAAAATAGTTTTGTAAAACCACAATAACAATGTCTTTTACAACCCAAATGATTGTAAGACTGATGATTTTCCAAGAAATATTCTGAAAATATATTTAACAAAAACTTAAACGATGGATAATAATGCGTCACAATAAGTTAATTTCCTAAATTTTATTTAAATGTCCGTCTGTTAGATCAATTTAAAACACTAGTAGTGTAAGACACTAGTTTTTTTTCCCTATTTTTTCTTATTTCAAATTAAATACTTTCAACGATAAATTAATTTAATATATCGTTGAAAGTAATATATTTTTTAAATATCGTCGGACTTCCCACTCCTAAAATGAAGGCTATTTTATCTAAGTATTGTAACTTTATACAAGAAGAAAATACGTGTCTAATATTTTTTCATTATCTAACTGACTAACTAATTAGATTTTTAATGTTCATACCCTGGCAACTACCCCATTATTGAATTGAGTCTTACATTTGAAATCTCTATATAACATAACATAACACCACGCCTTTTATCCCCAAAGGGGTGGGCAGAGATGCACATTATGCCACTGTACAATGTAACACCCACTTTTCACTAAATATGTAATGAGTCCCATGTAATAAAGGAGAGCCTATTGCCATGTACCGACCATAATTCTAGAGGTAGACTCCATGCTACTACTGACAATGTTTAAAAAACCCAGTATTTCTTTGCCTGACCCGGGAATCGAACCTGAGACCACTTACTCGGGCAGTTATACTTGCGACCACTTGGCCAACGAGGCAAGCTATATATCTCTATATATATTTAATATATATATCTCTATATATATTAAATATATATAAATCTATATATATAATATATATACATATAAACAAAAATATAAAATTTAAGAGTTTGTTTGTTTAAACGCGCTTATCTCTAGAATTACTTGTTCGAATTAAATAATTATTTTTATGTTGGACAGTTCATATATCAAGAAAGGCTATACAATATAACGCTACAATGAACAGGAACCGGAACAAAACCGTGCGGGAGTAGATAGTCTTAAAATATAGACATCAATATTTTACTTTATTCTTAAAAAATCTTCTCAATATGTAAGTACTTTACCTTGTAATGTCTCTCACCGGTTTGTATCAAAAGTTCCACGTAACACAAAGTTCGTGTAAACACATTAATTGTACTTAATAATACCTGAAAATGTAAGCGTCCAAATCAGAAAAGTAAATGAAGAGTTAAGGGTGTTTATTCGCCATGAGACGCCTGGGCATACTAAACTAGGCGTGTCACGAAAATAAAACTATTAAAAGTATTACTTCGAATAGCTATTGTTTCAACATACTATTGAAAATTCAAAAACAACTTACATACGCCTGCGATACAGTCTTATACAAATGGTAAGCCTTCATTACATTTTGGTACGATTTAAATAATTTATAGCTATTTGTTCGATCAATTTCCTGTATTTTATTTAACAGTTCGACAGTATTAATCCACTCTTCGAGATAATTGATCAACAAAACAATCACATTGATGGAATGAACATGATTAAGGTCGAAAATTATTGTAAAATAGTCAACAATGAAGTTAAAAATGCAGAAATCTCGCAGCGATGCATATAGAAATAAGTAAATAAATACATTCACTAGAACAATGGATAAAACTGAAACCCAATTCCTAATAATGTTAATGGTGGTCCGTTTACTAAAGTCTACAGCCTTGTGAAGATATTGAAATATAATGACAAGAAGCACGTTATCACCAGAATACACAATATTGTGAACAAATACAACAATAAAACTAGCGGAATAAAATGAAAAGAAGAAAAAGCTAATAAATGAGAAAATACCACCGTCATTGATCATGATTTTTTTAAATGTATTTAATATGTATTTGTAGAAAGTGCTGAAAATTAAAAAGATGACAGTGAAGACGGTGACGATACAGAATTTCTTTCCATTCGGAGTGATGCAGTTATCAAGGATCAAGAACTTTGGAGACAATAACATGAGTAGAAGTAAATGAAATGGATAGAACAATTGCCGAATTGGTTTTTCTAAATGATATTTTAATGACGATTCTACTGAAAATGTTGGCATTATGGAAGAGATTTGTCTGATACAGTAACGAGAAAATCTTTCAATTCAAAGAATTATACTATGACTAATATTTAATACATCAACGTGGGTGCTATCCGTTGTTTGCGTCAACTCATTCCGGAAAAGGATAAGAAAAATTCATTTGCGTAAAAGACTTGTTTACTTATTTACTTAATTGATTTGTTTCTATAATTAAATTACCGCTGCAATATGTTACTCAAAGTACAAAGTAGTAAGTATGTTATTACATTACATATACAACTATTTAATATTGGAGAAGTACACCCTCAAAATAAATTTACAATTAATATTATATCATTAACTAAAATATTACGACATACTTATGTATTAAGAAAAGCTGTACTAGTGTGCTTTTCTCAGTGTATTTACGTAAGTCGTGTGTTTTTAGTTAATTCAGTATGTCTTACGATAGGTACTATAAAATATTATTTCAGTTGGTTCCTACTCACAAGTCCAGGCACCATTATTATTTCTGAGAAATTATAATATAATTTTTAAAGAAAATAACTCTGCATCGTTCACAAAAGCAACATGCGGTCACTCAGAATAATTAAAATATGATATAATACAAAACATGCATTTGACTTGGAAATAACAAAATTATTGTTTTCATATAAAGAAACATACTTTCAATTAGACTAATGTAACAAGACACGTCAAAGTAGATACGATCAAAATGATAATAGTCGAAGCCATCAGCAATGTTATGGAAGTAGATACACCATTACACTTAAAACCATAAAACAATGAAGGTGATAAAAATAATGCAAAGGTGTAAAATATTACCAAAACCAAATTTTCAAGTGTTTCTCAATAATAAACTAGAAAATGAAATCCAAAGAGTGGTGAATTCGTTTAATTTTGTTCTTAAATTATTCTGTGCTTCAAAGTACAGCATTCGACATAATCAGTTGTATCCAAAAGGATACAAGTATCAGTTTATGGCATTCTGTTTCATGGTGTTCATGAATGTGGTGTGCACCTATAGGATGTTTACCGTAGACATTACTGATCCAAATATGTCTGAATCTGAGAATGATGTGGTCACTCTCCTCAGTGCCCTTTATTACTTTCTTTATACCATTGGCTTTACTATTATGTTCATTCTCGATTTTTTACACAAACGTGCCCACGTGCTTATTATCATAGAAATTCAAGCTGTCTATCTGAGCATCGACTTCAGTAAACATATTCGAAGTTACATTATATGGAACTGGATTTCGCTATTTATGATCATGTTCATTGATATGTACATGTACAGTATTTTCTTCATCTTGTACGAAAATTCCACTTCGATAGAAATTCTGACTGACTACTTTTGTGACATTGTGTTCATTATTTTTGATGTTAATTACGTTATAAGTATTCGAATTATAATTTTGTTGAAAGCATATCTTGATGAATGGATACGAGAAATTCTAGTAATGAAAGAAAATGAAGGGTGTTGTTTAAAATTTTTTGGATCATATCAATATATTTTAAAAGCTTACAATTTGTACAAGACAATTTCTAGAGTGTTGGTAAATATAAAGATTTATTCACTGGTTTCATTTATCATGACGGTTATTTTGGTATATTGGGATCAACTTTTCGGTTAAATTATTAAACGTGATTACTTAATTAATTAACAGAAATATGTAATTCATTACACTGTTTTATTTTTTGCAGGTCTTATGTCATGTAGTGAACACATTCATCCGCAGTCTACTGTCTATCTATATTGTACTCTTTACGTCAAAACGATTCAGTTTGTCTGGTGGTGATGTAAGTATTATGACATTTTTTCATTACTTTATGATGTTATTCTTAAATCTCGGTATGAAGGAAAATATCCATTTCAATTTCATTATCTGAAGTCACACAATACCCACTGAACAAAGGCCTTTTATCTTATTTCGTCACAAACTTGATAAAATATAAGCGATGGCCAGTGACTATGTTATATACTTATTTTTCTAGAGTACTACTAAAATACAAGTAATACATATGAAATATTATCATGTTAAAAGGTTTTAATGTGCTCTATTCTACTTTTCATTTTATATCGATAACGCTAATTGTGGAAGAAAAATAGATAATCATATTATGTGGTCATCAATATTACGGCTAAAGACTCACAAAGCGGTTTTATCCACGCCCGCCGCGGTGGCTAAATAGAGTTTTATTTTTAAAACTCATGAGACCGCAGTTTTGTGTAGTTACGCAGCCGTCACGGTTGTGATTATCGCAGGCAAACTTAAAGGTTTATTATGGCAAGGTGGACTGCCAAACAATCAGTTGAGTTTCAGACTGCCCTCTGCCCCGCTGCTTATTGCGGTCGCCTGCCAATCCGTCGCAGAGCGCGCAGGTTCAACCCGCCGCGGCTGCGGAACCGCGTCGTGGAATGTACTCAATTTTTTTATACAAATACCAAAGGCTGCCGTAGTGAGTCCTTAACCTAAGAGTATATACCAAATCAATAAAATTCCAATTACTTTTGACCCAAATTAATAAAAGGGACAAACTAAATAGAACCGTTTTTATAGTAAATAAATAAGTGTGTGAGAGCCATGCTTCGGCACGAATGGGCCGTAGTGATACCACGGCCTCACAAAAAACTGACCCTCCCTCCCTTCCACAATCTCCCAAATCCCTGAATCCCCAAATTCCTAATCCACAATAGGCCGGTAACGCACTTGTATTCTCCGGTCTGTCCATGGGCGACACCAATTGCTTACCAGCAGGTGATCCGTCTGCTTGTTTATCGGCTTATGCCATAAAAAAAGTAATACGTTTGGGTGGAGAACAAGGGAGAGATATATAATAAAACATGCATCCACTTAATTTCAGGCTTCACCATTTTACATTCTTGGTTCACTTCTGTGGGTATCTAAGAATGCGATCCTGGTGATAATACACTGCGTCTGCTGCGAACGATTCTACATTACTGTTGAAGAAGCTAAGTCAGCGTGTATACAACTTTTGATGAATGGCGACTATAGTCGTAGGTATACTTTAAATACTTGGAAACGATAGTGTAAATAATGTCTATTTTCTAAATTGAATCAAACTTTTTCTTTAAGTGAGTCAAGAGTGGCTATACAAGAGTGTGAAGCGAATGAACCGAACATTCAGCAAGATGAGCGCATGCGGACTGTTCTATGTGGACGCGACGCTCATCGTGTGTCTCACTGGAGTCATAACTAACTACGCTGTAGTAATGTTGCAGTTCACCTTCCTTGAAGATGTTAAGTAGATATTTTCCTAGAAAGATTGACTGTAAATATTATAAAACATTTTTTATGGAGTGTTCTATGGACATGGAGCAACAGACTATGTATGTGTTATATTTTACACTTCTTATGTTAACAACATTAGAGTCATCATATTGTTGTCAAACGAGTCAAACTAAATAAAACCATTCAAAAACAGCTTACATTTCACTTACTTAACTTTATCTTAAATTAGAAGACAGATTAATACACATTTTAAAATTATTACTATTTTCTTGTATTTGACCAAGCATCTTTATTTCCTCAATCGAAATCTGAGCCAGTGTCCTCCATGTAGCCGAAAGTTCATATTGTCGGTGGCAAGCTTCGCAGGGATGCAGGTCTTCTCACATGGTGACAGCTCCATGTGCCTCAAAATCTGGTAGGTGATCACTTTTATCTCGCAGAGAGCAAATCTTGACCCTGTCAATTGAAACATTATTTAATTTTTTCCAAGTCACTTCAAAATGTAATTAAAGAACCATAATCATACCTATACAATTCCTAGGACCAACACCAAAAGGCATGTATGCGTTCGGATTGATCTTGTGTTTATTTTCTTCGGCGAAACGGTCAGGGTCGAACTTTTCTGGCTCCGGAAAGTACTGAGGGTCGTGGTGAAAAGTAAAGGCTGAAATCATTATCCCTGCACCTTTACGCACCTATAAAATTAAATTGTTTTTGTATAAATTTGAATTGAATGGTGAACTACGATTTATCATAATAATTAATGTGTTTTACAATGAAATCCTTCTCAGCTGTGGCGTTTGGTTTACCCATATTGTAATCCTTTTCACAAACTCTGTCAGTAACTGCAGCTACAGGCCATCGTCGCAATAATTCTGAAAAATAATGGTGTTATATTAAACTAAACTACTCTACGATTTATTCACTCTTTTTTATATCAATCTTGGCATCCATACCAGAGACAACGTTATCCATATACTTCATGCTCTGTATAGAGTTAAAGTCGAATTTGCCACCGTTCTTAGCATCATATTCCCTAATCTCTTGTGCCAGGCGCTCCTGTACGTCAGGATTTACAGCCAATTCGTATAATAAGAAACACACGCTTGACGAAATTGTCTCAAAACCGGCCACAAAGAACAGGAATGCTTGGGCAACCAGGTCATTGTCACTCCACTCTGCAAGGTTTAAATAAGTAGTACTTAATCTTTTAATTTTAATCTTTAATTCTATTGTCTGTTAATCATTCAATAAAAAAGTTAATCATTACCTCGATTGACTTTCCTTAGTCCAACCGAAGATTCTTCAACAGTCGCAAATCCAGCTGCATCATCATTTGATTGGACATCATCATGAGATAGTTTACCTGAATAAAAATGTTATTGATTTTGTGTATTAATTTATTTATTTTCTTTCTTCTAAGTATCTTTCTTTCTTCTAAATCAAGTTTTTAAATTACCTTTTTTAGCTTCTTTAAGCAAATGAATCATATCAGGTCTCACAATGTTGTTCATTTCTCGTTCCTTCATAGTGTCCAACACTAAATTTTTGAAAAAGTTCTTAACTGAATCTGAGACTATATCCCATTTAAATATCTGCAAATGAATTATACAATATTTTTCCCATTTCTTATCAATGTAACATGCGCAAACTGTTTCTTCACTCTTATTTATATACCTTAGCAATTTTCGGAATATTCATCATCAAGAAGAACTTTAACATTTGAAGCGAATTGAAGTTTGTTACTGTCTTGCCCATCAAGTAGAACTGATTGTTCTGTTCAGTCTGTGAGTCCACTTTCAGGCCAAAAGCACATGAGGCTATTACATCGTTTGCATACCGGGTCGTGAGGTCCTTGCAGTCAATATCTATGTAACCACCTGATAACAAACTTGTGATTGAGTCTTATTTTCGTAACATTGCTCTTAACACTGTAGTAAAGCGTTTTTGTTTATGCTTCTTTGCAGAAATTATCACTTAGCGGGAACTAACCAAGGACGTTGAAAAAAGGCAAACCAAATGAATTATTGTCACTGAGAGTCTTTTTTTAAGGGGGGAAAATCATCGAATGACTGCTCCCGCCTGGGTGAGGAAGTGTCAGACTCTTACTGACTAATAACCACCCCGTTCCTTCTCCTGCACGTTGAGCCGGAACCCCGGTTACCCGTTAGGTTCTCCGCGACTGTCACTGGGAGTCTAATCTTTTAAAGAACTATTCGAGTCTCCCGCGGTTCGGGCCCAACACCCAGGTATGGAGTGTGACACAGTGAGCGCAGTTTGTAAAATTTTTATTTGCGTCGACCTGGGGTTCGAATTCAGCATCTACGCATTCAACTGAAGCCGGCGAACAAGTCTATTGTGCCAACGGTATCGCGCGCACTGCCAGTGTCACCGCCACAGATAGAGGAAAGTGCGCGTGACAATATTCTGCTCGAGATTTTGTTTATTTCCATACCTTTTGAATCCGCAGTCCTTTTTTTGAGTGAATTGATCATCTGGTCTCCGACCTCCACCATGAAAGGCACCATCAGCCGTATCTAGCTCGTGAATGCTGGACTCAACGTAGAGCGCATGTCTTTCCATTCTTGGCCTATAAAGACAATTTTTAAAGAGTCAATGACGCTTATTACTAAATTTCACAAGATTTGACAAATATATAAATATATTACTAAGTAACTAGGGCTCCTCAAATGTCCCAAAAAATCTAAAAAGATTTGAGATTAATTTAACATACCGCTCAATAAAAACAAAGTTCTTGCGAAAAACGAATCGATTCCAAAGCTGCGATGATCAACGAAGTACTCGAAGTCTTTGACACAAACTTTTTTTACCAGCTCCAAGTCTCTAAGCAGCACTGCCTCATTCAGGAATTCAAATCTACCCACAAATCTGAAAATATAGAAGAAACTTAGGGACTACGTCAACGGTAAAATCTAGATCTACTCTATACAAAAATAAATGCATTATTTCTTCTAACTGGGTTAGTGTATAGATTTATTAAACTTAATATAAACTTTAAGTGTTTAATGATAAGGCTCTAATCACTTTTCAGTCAAAGCAAGCAACAAGAGAGCAGTGGCCTCCGATATAATTGTTCACTGTCTCTCGTCTCTTTTAATAAGAATTAATCTGCCTTGTTGACCGGAGGGTCATGAGCGAGAGTCATGATCATTATACCACGGATTGTTAAATTCTGCTCGACTTTTAGTAACAGGCACCAATAATTACAAAAAAAAGTTAGAGAAGTCAAAGGCACATATAAATTAGTTGTATGATTTTTATACACTCACTTCTCTTCAGGGAAGGCATTGTATAAATCAACAATATTATACACCAAGTGTTGTCTTCGGAGCAGAACTTTGCTCATATTGCCCAGCAGTGGGACAGGCTTGAAGTGCTTTATGCCATGTCTGCTAAATGTTGAATAGAGCTGACGTAGATATAGCACTACCACAGCGATCAATACTGCCACCCATATCAGTAATATTATCATCATCTGGAAGTTGAAGATTATTTACGTCGGATAGGTCATTTATACAGGACTTCGATTCAAGTCCAGAAAATATGAATAACAATGCCAACAGAGTCTGAAATTGCAACTTAGAACCGAAATAGAATTCAATTCAGTCTGTAATCGAGTTAGAACAGAGCGTTGGTGACATCGAGCCAATTATCTAATTTGAATCATATGGAGGTCCGTGGAACGAGCTTGACCATCTATGATCTCAGTCAAGGTCAACATGTTTGTTTATGTCGCAGTAATGTTATAGTGTCACTATCTTACCTGTTATCTGATAATAGAAACTTGATTACAAACACTCACGTTAATTGTTTGTTTATAAGAAATTACAAATCAATGATATACAATAATAAAACTTTTATAAGTGCGCTAACCTAACAAGCAATTATAAGTAAAACTAGGAAATATTTAAATAGTCCTAATTTTTTCTTATGCACTAATTTTAACACCCCATGTAATTTCTTTGTCAACAAACGCAAGCTCAATCTGTTACATCCTGTTCGCTAGCTCCATTATTTCTATATAGGTACACAAGTGTCCATCCTTCTAAATAACATAATTATGTTTGTCAATATTAGACGAAAAATATTATTCAAGCCAGATATTTTTGGATTCTAGTGAATAAATGGTTATTACTAAGTAATAACTAACGAACGAATGAAGTAATGAGCCTGAATAGTAATGTAACTGAGATATTTAATAAATTGTCTTACATAAACAGAAGCAAAATCCTCAACAAAACAGACACAATGACACAAAACAAACAAAATATTAGATAAAAACGTGTGACTCTGTCGACAGACTGGTTCACTGTGAATGACAAGAAACCGTGTACATTGTACACACATATGTATTTTCATCATTCGTTGATTGTATACAGCCAAGAGCTCGTGTTATGATATAGATGGGTTTTTACTGTTTAGGGGCGTTGCTGGTACATTTTATGAAGGCCTGCCACAAGGTATTACATTTGGTCCAATCTATAATCGTCTGAATTTTTCAACATAGTAAACTCATGACCAATAACAAGCTGTTAATAATCCTATAGCAAGTGAAAAACATTGTCATGTTTTTGATAATAGAGTCACAATACTTATCCGCCTAGCAATGACTATTGTTATGCCCGTCAATGACGTTATCTCTCTTGTAAACAATGGGAGGTCACAATTTATTGGATTAATTGACCTCCCAATTCAGCTGACCGTTGCTATCAGTATTTTTAGTAAATACAACAATTAAGCATTGAAGATGAGGATTTTCTTTCAATAAACTATTGTTTTGAATCTTTCTTAACAATGGATGTTTGCAAACAGAGTAATAAAAATAAACAATTGCAAATTCATAGACTATTAAGTTATAATTGTCCATTCCAAGGGTTTCCCTAACTTGCAATGACTATTTGGATATCCACCTGATAAAATGTAAGAGAGATTAAATTACGGAGTAAAAAAAAGACAAATTAAATGTTAATGCTTTATTTAAACATACCTAAATACAAAATTACAAAATTAAGATTTTATTAAAACATAAATACTTTATATAAGATACTTATTACTTTTTTCCTTCGTCATACTATTAATGACAAAAAGATTATTTCCTTTGTCTAAATCTAAGCCAGTGTCCACCTTGCAACCTGATGTTGATGTTATCAGCAGCCAACCTGGCTGGAATTGGAGTTTTCTCACTTGGAGACAGCTCCATGTGCAGCAGTATCTGATAGGTCAGCACTTTCAGTTCGCAGAGAGCAAATCGCGACCCTGTCGATAAAGAAATAAAATGTTGATTTGACCAGTCACCAGATTAACCATCAAATATTTTTACAGAGGTTTGAATGTTACCTATGCAATTTCTTGGACCGTTGCCAAAAGGCATGTAGGCGTTCAAATTAAGATTGTGTCGGTTTTCTTCGGAGAATCGCTCTGGGTCGAACTTTTCAGGATTTGAGAAGTACTGAGGATCGCGGTGGAAAGCGAAGGCTGGTATAAACACTGTAGAACCCTTAGGCAACTGCAAAAAGAAGCAGTACAAGAAACAATTTAACTAACGTCTAGTAAATACAATGACGCATTTATTTTTATTCTTATATCTGAAACTTACAATATAATCTTTTTCGACATCTTCACTCGGTCTACCCATATTGTAATCCCTGTTGCTTTCTCTATCCATAACTGCGAGTGGTGGCCATAGTCTGAGAAGCTCTTGAAATAATACACATTTTTATTGCATTACTCCATTGAACAAATAAAACATTCCATAATAAATGAAAATGTGTGTAAGATTCAAAATTTCATACCTGAGACAACCATATCCATATACTTCATGTTCTGAATGGAGTTGAAATCAAACTTGCCATCATTCTTAGCATCATGTTCCTTTATCTCCTGTGCTAACAGCTCTTGCACATCAGGGTTTACTGCCAGCTCGTACAGTAAGAAAGACATACTGGTCGAGACAGTTTCAAACCCAGCAACGAAAAACAAGAATGCTTGAGCACTTAGATCATTGTCATTCCAAACTGTAAATTCAAATATGATATTATTAGAGCTTCACTTTATGTTTCTCGACGAATGTTACATAGGGATATATATTTTACCTCGATTGGCAGTCTTTTTAAGCCCAACTGATGATTCTGCAACAGTCGCAAATCCAGTAGCATCATTGTCAGACTTAGCATCTTCATGAGTCAATTGACCTAAAATAATAATCATGTAAATTTTATACGATTGTCTACACTGTAGTCTCTACAGGACAGAATAAATTAATAAATAATTACAATATCAAGTTGGTCTGTACTTGTATTGTTTGTTATCAAACACATTTTATAATTGCTACCTTTTTTAGCTTCCATAAGTAGATGAATCATATCTGGTCTAAAAATGTGTCGCGATTCACGGTCCTTCATTGTGTCCAAGACCAAGTTTATGAAAAAATTCTTCATTGTATCTGGTACCAATTTCCAGTTTAGAAACTGTAAAATAATGAAATTATTTGTTTTAATGATATTTTATAAAGAAAAAATCATGTTCAAAAACTATTGCTTACCGCCGCTAGTTTTGGAGCAGCGACAATTAAGATGAACATGAACATATCACGTAAAGTGAAATTTGCTGCTTTTCTACCCATCACGTAGAATTCATTATCTTTCTCTTCGTGAGAATTCACTTTTAGACCAAAAGCACAAGAAGCTATAACATCATTTGCGTAGCGGGTTGTAAGGTCCTTGCAATCGACATTTATGTAGCCATCTAAAATAAAAAGAGGGTGATTGTAATTAAGAAATGCTAATCAGACATAACTATTTCCGAAGATGCTTACCAGGTGAAGCTTCAATTTCTTTGTTCAGTGATCGTATCATCTGGTCTCCGACTTCCACCATAAAAGGCACCATCAGTCGTATCTTGGAGCTTGTGAACGCTGGACTCAGCGTGGAACGCATGTCCTTCCATTCTTGGCCTTGGAGAATATTAAAAATAATTATTATTTTCATGTAATATATTTTATGTTTTAACAAATAATCTTTAATCAACGTAGAATTTTACCTTTCAATAATATTAAAGCTCTGCCGATAAACGCATCTCTACCGAAGTCGCGATGATCAAGGAACACCTCAAAGTCTTTGACTGTGATTTTCTTCACCAGATCCAGGTCACGGAGTATTATAGTCTTATTCGTGAATTCATATCTTCCAACAAACCTGTGAAATGGAGATGAGCAGATGGTGATTGTTGTGGCGTAATGGCCACACATCAATGGATTCTGATAACAAATGGTAACAGAATCTGATAAGCTCCCGGAACTTAATGAAACACCACGTTTAAATATCTTATCGTCATATTATTATGTGACAACAATGCTATCTAACATTATTGGAGTCTGAGATTATCAACATCCGTAAAGGGTATTATTGTATTTTGGCCTAATTATAGTTCAAAATATAATTTGAGTGAAGTAATGATAAGAAATATTGCGATTTGTGATTACGACAGAGTTTTTCGTTCAAAGACTTTTGTGATATCAAATGCTATAATGACTTGATTACTATGTATCAAGTAAGCAATGATGTCGTATCATGTAACGTGTGAAACTGTGAATTGCTAATGTGCCTGTGGCCGCATATCATTCACCTTTGTTTACATCAGTCTAAACTAGACGGTTAATACATAACATATATTCAGAAGTATAATATACTACAAACATTCCACAATTCCATAAAAACTCTTACCTATCTTTTGGAAAGGTCCCGTACAATTTAAGAATATCATAAGCAAAGTGTTGTCGTAGAAATACGGTGTTGGACATGTTCCCTAACAATGGTGCTGGATTCAAGTATTTGATGCCATGTCTGTTGAATGCGGCGTGCATTTGCCGAAGATGCAGCACCAGGGCCGCGATCAGCACCACCAACCAAATTAGAAAAATTATCATTGTCTGGAACAAGATTAGTAAAAATTAGCTTTGTATTATGGTCGTCGATGCGTACACTTGAAACTCTGGTAGCAATATAGGAAATAAATATCAGCTGGACGCGTTAGAGCACATTGAGAGGCGTGCCAGGAGGCTCATCGACGATGATGCCCTTGTAAAGGCTCGGCTTCAAAGCCTCGAACACAGGCGTAAGGTTGCAAGCCTTTCGGTTTTCTACCGGATACATTTCGGGGAGTGTGCGGGGGAATTGCACAACTTAATTCCCCCTAGTCCTTTCCATCATCGTACCACAAGACAATCCGCGAAGCGTCACCGATTCATGGTAGATGTTCCGCCCACACGCACGAAGCGCTTCGCTTCAAGCTTCCTTGTGCGTACTGCTAAAGAGTGGAATTCTTTGCCAGAGTCTGTATTTCCTGAAGGGTATAACCTGGGAGTCTTCAAGGCCCGAGTGAATAGGTTGCTTATGGGACGACGTGCTCCAACGTAGACCGCATCATCGCTTACCATCAGGTGAGATAGTGGTCAAACGTCGCCCCATCAATTATAAAAAAAAAATAAAAAAAAATAATGCTATATGGATAGATGATGGCAGTTCTTTTATTTATTTATTTATTTATACATTCGGAAAACCAAAAGTTATACAATTTGATTAAATAGAATGTGGTATGCAACAATAAGCCTATTACTGGTTTCCACGATTAGTAACAGAGAGTAGAGACATGCCAACACAGTACTAAAATTACTTATTAAACTCATTATACCACAGGCAAATGTCTTGGCCTGTTTAAAACACTTTTCTGTTAGACTTTGTGTCAATTACCAACAAAATTGAATTGCCTGTACTATCATACAATTGATAAATTTTAGTAACCTTCATTTGAAAATAGAGTATTGAGAATTTGAAACTAGTTTATCATTCATGACGTTTTTAAATATTACATTACTGAGGACATCGATTTGTCGACGATTAGTATGAAGACAGAATATTTGTTTATTTTGATAAGCACCTACTAAAATCAATGTTACCATACTAAGTCAATAGTTGACTAGCTAGCCCAATTAAAATATTTGCAGATTCCAGATGTACACGATGGTGGTTGAGTCACTTATGGGTACTGTTTATTCATCTAATTTTAGCAAGTGATTCGTCATACATGTTATGTATCCAACAAACATTAGCACAATGTTTATTTACATAAAATTAGGTATTCCAATGTGAGGCTAATAACATGCTATCAGATAAATTAAAAATATGTAGGCTCAGGGTCCGACATTATTTGAAAATAAAACAAAGGGCTTCACACAATCACTTAGTTTATTTCGATGAAATGAACTTACTTTCACATTAATTTTTAATTATAATAATTGAATAATTTAGCACTGATTATATAAAGGAAATACTCAAATAAAACCAATAATAAAATTACTCAGCGATTGCGTAACGTGTGAACTGGGCAACGATCGACGAACGACTGACTCGAGCTTGCGCTTGCGCTGCTTTATATATCACTCGGTGGTGGGGTTGAAGTGACGTCGGTCAGTTGTTTGTTCACTGCTCGCCCATTACATTTGCAGTTTACAAAATAATGACGGCGGCGCCGACAAATATTTTGTATATTATCATTGTGTCTTTGTTTATATTTCGTAATCAAAATAAAATATCTCTTGTTTTCATGCAATGTAAATAATGAAAATGTTAAATAATGGTTGGATAATGGTTTGGTTACAAACGTAACATATTCATTATTTAGGGTATCAGCGTTCATCACCTTTATTTTTTGTAGTTTCTGTTTCTCACGTGTGTCTTAAGCATGACAACTTTTTTGTTATAATTGATATTAGATATTACTGAAGACAATGATATTAAAGAAACAGACATACAATGGATATAAAATTACCTTCTTGTCATGCAACTTAATACGTTATTCTTAAGAGGTAACTATTAATGGCGAATATCTTCACTGATGTATTAGTTTGTTATGTGCATAAAGACTTAAATAAATACAATTATTTGTTTTTTATTTTTTTGAACGTACAGCAGTGATTTCTCTTATGTCATCGTGGGTGCGTTTAGAAATATAAAAGTTTACATACATGTTATATCCAAGGTAGCCCTCAGAGACCAGGAACATCATACAATCGTCATTCTTCGAGATTGCGCAACACGATTTGTTCGATGTACGGTTTTTAAACCGTTCGCCGACGTCTCAAGATACCTATTGTCGCCTAACATCGGGACAGTAGGACGCTAATTTTAAGTACTTAATTTTAATATATCATTGTAATCTTTAATAAACTGCTTGTATATTAAATGGTTGCGTTACTTGAATCTCCTCCGCTGCCCACATCGTAATTTACACATAGAACACAGATCCGAAACAATAATTTGTTAAACACACAAAGAATTCCTCCGTGCGCTGATCGAACCCGCTACACGTCGTTGGTTAATCAATAATATAAAAATAGGACTTACATTAAATAACAGTTGCCGGTTCGTGCACAAACATAAGCTGGATGTAAACAAAACGTTCTTTACGTACGTGTTATTCAACGCTCTGGCTAGCAACGTATGGTAACTACTATCTAGGCGGACCAGACACTGTAATGTACATCCATATGTATGTATGTATAGTATATAGTGCATCAGTAGGTACATTAAAGTACTCATAGATTAGATTAGACCCTTGTTTAGGGTGTATTTTTAAGTATACCAACAGTTTTATCGTTGATATTGGCTCTTGTGATAGGACTGCCACAAGGGGCTATTTTAGGACCCGGATCTGAACAATCTTTATGAGGTGATGATTTGCGTATTTAAATATAGAGATTAATGTGTGACTATTTTTAGTGGTTTTAGTAGGTAAAAAATATTATCTAACTCACACTCACTTGGTTGTACATAGTAGAACCAAATAAAATACCTATTTAGTTAATTGTTTGATTATCTCGTTAACACCAGACTAAATAGTGGCCAAATGTCGACCGACATAAAAAAGCACTTATTCGTAAATCACTTGACTATAGTTCAAGGGCCAAAGAAAGACATTAAATCGTATTGTAATAATTAAATTCTATATATAAGCATTCACTTCTATGTTAAATTACTAGGAAAAGACTACTTTGACTTAAATCACCTTATCTTCAACTTTGCACAAAAATAATTTATACCAAACGTTTTCCTAGGCTTATTTTGCGTCTAAGGTTGCGGAATAGTAATTAAATAAATAAAGATTCTATGCTCTCACGTATAACATAATTTATGAAAAAAATATATAATTTAGTCACGTATATTATTATAAAATTATACTTAAAATTATGCTAAGTATACATCATAAAGTTAAGGCTCAGTGCTTATGAAAATTTAAGATATTTTTTAAATCTCATTAGATAGAGGTATCTATGTACACAATAATACTAAATATATCGTTTATCACTTTATTTTCTAGGTCTTATTCTAAGCCAGTGTCCTCCGTGCAGCCTGATGTTCAAGTTATCAACAGCGAGCTTGGCAGGGATGCAGGTCTTCTCACATGGAGACACTTCCATGTGACGTAAGAGTTGGTAGGCCATTACCTTCAACTCGCAGAGAGCAAACCTCGATCCTGTTGATAACCATGAATTACTTAATAGTACTAATTTCGTCATACAATTCGGTAAAATAACCGTTGATCTAAATTGTATGGTAGATTAGATGCTATGTGGGTTATGTAAATATAAATTAGAGTTATTTTTAAGGTGAGCAATAAATTTTATCATCGTATACCTAAACAATTCCTAGGACCCATTCCGAAGGGGATGTAGGCATTCATATTAATGTTGTGACGGTTTTCTTCGGAGAAGCGCTCAGGGTCAAACTTTTCTGGCTGAGGGAAGTATTGAGGGTCGCGGTGGATAGCAACAGTTGGGATCATGACGCTAGTACCTTTACGAATCTGGAATCGAAATGTGTTAGTTAGTATAATAATAATTAGGCGTTTTTGTTTTTAGTCCATAAAAGTAATACTTACAATGTAATCTTCTTTGGAGTTCTTATTTGGTTTGCCCATATTATAATCCTTAATACATTCCCTATCACCTGCAACAGCTGGTGGCCATCGTCGCAAGACCTCTGCAATGAAAGAATATTATGGATTCGTCATCAACATCAGCAAGGAATTGAATGCAAAAGTAGGGTGATAAATGAATTCCTACCCGACACAACCATGTCCATATATTTCATGCTCTGTATGGAGTTGAAGTCAAACTTGCCACCATTCTTAGCGTCATGTTCCCTTATCTCCTGCACCAGCCGGTCCTGTACGTCAGGGTTCACAGCTAGCTCATACATCATGAAAGACATAGTGGTCGAAATAGTTTCGAAGCCAGCGATGAAGAAAAGGAATGCTTGGGATACTATGTCGATGTCACTCCATTCTGGAAACAACATTATTATGATTAGGATCATTATAACTAATTCATCTTGCACTTTATGGTTATTTGGTATTTTGTTACCTCGATTCACCACTTTTTTTAATCCAATTGATGATTCTTCGACAGTTGCAAAACCAGTAGAAGTATCGTTAGATTTCTCGTCATGAGATAGTTGTCCTGAAATGAAATAATGACATTATAGTACATATAAGCAAATAATGATATTATTTTATTTAACTAATTTTATTTAGGTACCTTTTTTAGCTTCCATTAACAAGTGGATCATATCGGGTCTGATAATATTCCGTTGCTGTCGATCCTTCATTGTATCCAGCACTAAACTAGTAAAGAATTTCCTCACAGAGGCTGGTACAATATCCCAATTAAATATCTGTAGAGTAAATAATATTTGTCATTGTTTTATAGTCATACGTTCCTTTCGTATCAATTTCTAATGATCACTTCAAGAACTTACCTTAGCTAATTTAGGTGCATTCAATAAAACGAAGAACATTATCATTCGAATGAATTTGAAATCAAATAGATTCTTCCCCATATTATAGAATTGATTGTTTGGATCAGCCTGAGAGTCCACCTTCAGACCATAAGCACAAGATGCTATGACGTCGTTAGCGTACCGTGTTGTGAGGTCCTTGAAATCAATGTCCACGTAATCATCTGGTCAGAAAGAAGATTAAAATTAAGAACAGAAAACAGATTAATTTACTTTGTGAAATAGATTATGTAATAATTTATGAAACCTTTGGAATCCCCCAATTTTTTATTTAGTGAAAGCATCATCTGATCTCCGACCTCCATCATGAAAGGCACCATCAGTCGTATCTTTGAGCTCGTGAAGGCTGGACTCAGCGTGGAACGCATGTCTTTCCATTCTTGACCTGCAAGTAGTTAAAGGTTTTCTTTATTATTGACCTATTCTCAATTTTTTTAAGTATAAATATTATAGAAGCCTTACCTTTCATTAGAAACAAAGTTTTTTTAAAGAAAGATTCGCCATCGAAACTGCGATGGTCGGTGAAATACTCAAAGTCTTTGATAGCGATCTTTTTGAGCAGGTCAATGTCACGGACTAATATAAACTTTGTAATGAATTCAAATCTGCCTACAAATCTGGAAAGTAATGAAAATAAGGTCATTACCCATTTTCACTAAACTTCTAAATTTTGAGGAACCCCTAAGCTAAGATAGTGTCATCTAACAGTACAAGTAAAGGTTTAATTTAGGTATAAGGTTATGTTACTTTTAGGTAAGCCATGGTCAAGACGACCATAATTTTATCATAGCAATTGTTTTTTTTTTTGTAGTGTTTCTTTTTTGTAGATTTGATCCTTACTAGTTCACTTTTTTCTGGTCTCTCTATTGACGCACTATCCAATCATAACATCCTAATTAACATCCGCCTCTTGTTTATCTGATACACTTATATTATGTTATATCAGTGATAAACGAATTAAGTAATAACTAGAAAAATGGTAAACCAAAGTCATTGTTTACAAAAATGACATGATAGAGACACGTGCTTAGGCGGTGATGGACGTAAATATTTTCCTTGTACAATATGAGGTCATACAAAATAAGGTCAAAAATATAATAACAATGACATCCAAAACAATAATAATATTTGAAAAGTGATAATCTTGCAACAATAACCTGACAATAATTGTGATATATAAGACTAGCTGTTGCTCGTAACTTCGTCAGCGTAGGATATAAATTTTAGATACATTTTACGTAACTGTTTTTGGTTTAATTTTCCAAAATTATAATAGTCTATATTACTCCTTAGTATATCAGCAACCTGCCAATAAAAGTCTTACAAAATCGATCCAGCCATTCCAGAAGTTAGCCAATACAAGCAGACAGACAAAAATTGTAAAAGTATTATTGTGGTATTTTTATCATAATTATGTATATGCGGTATAACAATGCGATTATTTTAATATTACAAACAGACGCTATAATTTCATTTATGTGTATACATAGGTAAATGTTAGAAAATGCTCTTTTTTGTATATATATAGAGGTACCATATATAATAGCAAATATCTCCAAAATGTGTCTGTGTATCGCTGGCAATAAATGTTCCACTTGCATTGCATTTTCAAAATGTAAAATCTTACTTTTCTTCAGGAAAGCTGTTGTAATAATTCTGCAGATTATTCACGTAATGCTCCCGGCGTAATATTACAGAGGCCATGTTGCCCAGTAGTGGGACTGGAGTCTTGTACTTGATGCCATCCTTGTAGAAGAAATAGAACTGTCTAATGTACAGCACCAGTAGTCCCACCGCCACACCCGCAAACAGCAGTGTTAATATCATTTTCTGAAAAGGAACATCGTTATTACTTGTGAATGGTAGACGATGGACATGTTCCGCCTCGTTGGTGGCGGTAAAAGGCGTGATGTTATGTTACAATATGTCAAATAATGTTTTTTTAATTTATGCACGAATTGAATTCAATTATTTATTTATTCAGTCGTTCTTGGTTAACAACATAGGTCTGTATAAACATTAGTTTTAAAACAAAATATGAAAATAATTCCCATTAGAAGGTTCTCAAACAAAAATTATTAGTTATACGATTTTGAATACTAAGAAAATCACTAAAACTTCGCTATCTTCTTAGTCAGAGCCAGAGCGTAAATATTTATACAACATAAGATAGTCGATTATTTAATATCGCGTTCACCAATTGGCGTCCATTAGATAACTGTTACCCGGCGCTATTTTGGAGTACAAGGCCAAGGCCAAACATGTTCTACTGTGGTAACGTGCCGGCTTCATTCATGATTCACAAACAACATGCCTTTTAAACTCTGATATAATTATAATATGGGAGAACCATGCTTCAGTACGAAAGTGCCGAAGTGATATCACGGCCTCAGAGAAAACTGACGCGAAACAACGGTTGCGTTGTGTTTTGTCGTGTGAATGAGGTTATCAGAGGCCCAATCTCCCCAATTACCGAATCCTCAATAATCCTTAAATTCCTAATAACCAAAAGGCCGGTAACGCACTTATAATACCTCTGGTGTTTTGGGTGTCCGTGGGCAGCGCGGGTTGCTTACCGTCAGGTGATCTGTCTGCTCGTTTATCGGCTTATTGCATAAAAAATCAATACAATTATTGAATAGAAGATATTTGGTTGTAGTTTTGGAAGTCTATAGTACAGTTTAGGATATGTTTTCTCAATATATTCAACAACTAGGGTTTCCATAATTCCTCTATTGTATGTTCAAGATAATTACAAAGTGACTGTCAGATTATAAATGTAAATTAATACAATTTGTTTATGTCACAGGTCACTATTGAAGTTTGGTCACGACGGTTTGAAAATGGATTCTCCGTTTAACTACAGAAATACAATATAAATAATCGAACAATACTATTGTACACGTGCTACAAAACCTCTATTTACAAACAGTTCGAATTAATTATGATAAAAATATAAAACACAGATAATAAAAACGCCAATAACTTACGTATTAAAAATTATAGAAAAAACAAGATGGAGAACAACAAACAGCGAACCGGTTATATGTAAACAAACCAACTTCAGACACAACACTCCCAACACTATGCCGTATTCACACTGAACTCAGTACACATATGTATACACCGACATACTAGACGATATAGCATTATATATATGGTTCAGGACTAATCTAATCTGCCCTGGCTTCGTTAGCTAAGTTGTTATATCATTTCATCATCCGAAATCATGATATCGATATTAATGTTGTTTCATAATGGACCCTCCGTTGTTTGTTTCAAGGTCATATTTACTTCGCATTGAGAGGCTTCCTTTGTCCTTGTAAAATTCTATACATGCAGATACTAAGACTATAATTTTATTGAAAATACAAGTTCACTTACACAACACCAGACCCGGAACAACAACCTCTGGATCACACAGAGATTTTGTGTGCGGGAATCGAACCTGCGACATGTTGGTCGGCAACCAGTAGCCCAGATACCGCTAACGAGAACCTAACGGGTAACCGGGGCTCCGGTTCGACGTGCAGGAGAAGGAACGGGGTGGTTTTTAGTCAGTAAGAGTCTGACACTCCCTCCTACCTCACCCAGGCGGGAGCAGACATTCGATGATTTTCCCCTCTTAAAAATAAAAACCAACCAACCGCTGCCAACCGTGCAGTCAATATTAGACAGATTTTTATAAGAGTTTAATAAAGCCGTAATTTTGTAAGAAAACACAGAATATTATTATATTAATTTATTTCATTATATACAAAAAAACGTAAATGTATTTGTAATAATAAAACAGTCTTACACGCTATTATTATTATTAGTTAAATCCTTAAGCAAAATATGTCATTCATAAAAATATTAATCTTATCAAGGGTGTTTCGTCATGTTGTCGAATTATGATTTGAGATTATACATAAATCGATTACATTACTAAATTAATCAGTTATTACAGAAAAGCTCTAGTCGAACGAGTATTACTAATTATTATTTATCTCATTATATTGAGTATTCAAGCAAAGCTGTTAGCAAAAGGGTACTTCATGTTCTACGTTACATGATTGAAAATAAATCGTTTGAGTGAGAATCTTACCTTGCCGTAACACAGTCTTTGACCAGCACGGGAGGTAAAGTAAAAAATCTACGTATACCGTCTGTAGACATTGTCTGTAGACATAAATTATTTTTCTTTCTTTCTTTCTTTCTTCTCACATTTATTACACTTTTGGTATCAAACTTAATGTCTTGTGAATTAATGAGTTAAATTACTTTTGTTTTGCAAGGTGTATTATATGATTTCATTGGTGTTTATTTAGAGTTACCTATCTACTACAGAAATGCCACTGCTTATGTTACTGCTTATGCATACTCTACCTTGCAATTGTGATTGTGACATCTATGTACTCATTATCACATTTTGTTAAATAATAGGTATACTTGTCCTTTGTTTTGCTAAATAAATTATTCTTATTCTATTCAATCGGTTGACTAGCGCTTTATGATGCAATTTGGCATAAAGCATAGACGGTTTTAAATGATTATTTAACAAGGTGTTTCAACAGTTCTTGTACACATATCAGGATAACTTAAAAAATATTTTGTTAATGAGCTTTATTCTACTAACCAAACCCTTTCGTTTGATATTCATAATGGAGGTAGTTGTGGAAAAACTAAATTATAATAATATAATGTATGGTCATCATTAAGACTGCGTACCAAAAGAAGGTGTCGATTACTCTATTTGACCCTTACTAACAAATTACCAAAAAAGGGGTGAAGCTAAAAAAATCGTTGATATCAAAAATGAACCTGTACAATAACCACTTATGATAAAGTGTCAGGACAAAATGTCTGTAGTTTTATCATGGTCTGCATCCGTCTTCTAAGTCCTCGGCCTGAACTTGAGCCAGTGTCCTCCTTGTAGCCTGAGGTTGAAAGTTTCGTTGGACAACTTCGCCGGTATGCAGGTCTTCTCACAAGGGGACACTTCCATTTCTCTGAGGATCTGGTATGTCATCACCTTAATCTCACAGAGCGCAAATCTTGATCCTGAAAAAAAAATTAGGATTAAAGAAGTTTTCCAAATTATTAAGTAAGTTCTATTTGAGTACATAAATATTTTTCAATTACTGATTTTATACCTTCAGACACACCAAACAAATACAATAACAAGACACACCATAGAAATATCCTTTATAGTAGATGATAGATAGATACGTGCCATATTCCTGATTACTCCCACATAGCTTCAAAATATTTATTCAATCAAGTACAATACGTACAGCTCATTGAAAATAATACCACTACTGCGATTAAATCTTTTAAAAGAATATTTAATTTATCCTTACCAATGCAATTCCTAGGTCCAACACCGAAGGGCATGTACGCGAGCGGATTGATGGTATGCCTATTTTCTTCTGAGAATCGTTCAGGGTCAAACTTTAAAGGGTTGGGAAAGTGCTCAGGATCGCGGTGAATGGTGAATGTTGGTATCCAGACTCCGGTTCCTTTGCGGATCTGTAACATAGTACAATGTCTTTTTAATCGGATCAGGTTTCGGTTTAGTCTTACTAGTGTATTTGGAATTCAAATATGTTGTTGATAGAAGCATTTAGCGTTACTTACAATGTAATCTTTCTCCGCTTTCGGGTTAGGCTTACCCATATTGTAGTCTTTAGTACAAATTCTGTCAAGAGCAACAGCAGGTGGCCAAAGTCGAAGGACCTCTGAAATACAAAATACAAACATTTGTACCATACAATGTCTGTAAGTGTCATACTTCTGCTATCGGCGCAATTTTGATGCACATGAAAATCATGAATTTGAAAATTTTTACGCCTACCATGTCATCATAGTATTGTCGTCTCACCTGACACAACCATATCCATATAGACCATGTTCTGTATAGAGTTGAAGTCGAACTTGCCGCCGTTCTTGGCGTCATTTTCTTTTATCTCCTGTGCCAACCGCTCCTGCACATCAGGATTCATGGCAAGCTCATGGAGTAGGAATGACATTCCTGATGAAACTGTTTCAAAACCGGCTATGAAGAATAGCACTGCTTGAGCCACGAGGTCTTCATCAGTCCATACTGAAATTAAAACATTGGGTCACATGATTAAAATTGCTACAAGGCCAGTGTTTATCTACTACACTATAAAATAAAAAAAAAAAATGGTATGTCTGTACAGACACAATGTGGCGCACTACCATAATATTACCTACCATCTATTGTAACATACCTACATTGACGAAATAAATAATATTTGTATTTGTATACATTTATATTAGCTTGTGGTACTTTTATAATAATCACACCTTCGTGATAATATCCACCAGGATGCTGTTCGTTTACTTAACAAATATCTACCAGTAATCCAGTATGAATGTATAAATTAACGTTAAATTATCATAATTCATACTTTCAACTTCTGTTTTCTCCGATGCTTTATCTCAGATGTAAAAGTACTTGGTTACTACCTCCATCTATCGTGTACTCGTACAAGTTTTTTTATTAGATTGAAATGTTTTCGTCGATGTATCATTGAAATTCTATTTCAGAGGTATATTCTGGGCCCTCTCCACCAGCGTCGTCTTACATCAAATGCTACTTTTATGTATTGATATGTTCATGGTTTCATTGATGGATTCTATTTTTATTAAGAGCGTGGCTATTTTGGTCTCGTCTCATTCATTCAATATGACTGATAGTCTGATACAATAAACAGCATACTTACTTCTATTAATTTCTTTCTTTCCTACAGCGGATTCCGTAACAGTAGCAAATCCTGCAGCTACATCATTGGATTTGATATCTTCATGAGTTAGTTTGCCTGAATTCAAATTTTCATTATTTTAGTTGTGTTTTATATATTTTTTATTATAATTTGACTTGAGTAGGGCATTATTGTTTATGTACCTTTTTTTGCTTCCATCAACAGATGAATCATGTCGGGTCTGATAATATTCTTCAACTCTCGGTTTTGCATCGTATCTAGCACCAGTCTCTTGAAAGCCTCTTTTGATGACTCCGATAGAAAATCCAGCTTTAAAAACTGTAACATAGAGCGAAAATAGATTTAAGTACATAAAATAGATATGTATACATGTATGTGAATTCGTGATTAAGATACGGAAGTAGCAATCTACGTGTTAACACCTTGAAACAATATATTTACGTGTTACTTTGGTCTTATATTTTAATATCATTTAGTTGATGAACAGGATTTTTAAATGTATAATCGAATATGTCAGCTATCAAAACTTGCTATTCAACATTTGCACCGATATACCAGAATCGAGTTTAACTAAAACTGGTCATAACTTTTGAACCATTAAGAATCGGACCCCTATTCCTGGAGCAAAATGATAGGGAATGAGCTCCTCTCTGAACTTGTTCCATTTGATCCATACTTCCAGAAACACCCTGTATGTACTTTATTCCGAGTTTCTCTTTTTTATAAAGAAACCGTATTACATCTATAGGCATACCAACAAACAGCCAGATTGTCCAAATCATCAAATATATTTTGAATCAAGAGGTCGATTGCCATTCAACGTGGTAATGCTGCCAGTCTTTTGGGCACCCTACCTCACGATAATGATGAGGAAAAATTTTTTTTTTGATGCCTTATTATAGCTTATTTATTTATTATTACCTTTTTTTAAGGTGTAAATATTTTAGTTCATAGTTATTTATATTTTAAGTTGTATATATTTTCATTAAGTTATAGTTAATATTAATTGTATATATAATTTCTTGAAATAAAACTTGGCATTGTACTCAAAAAAAAAAAAAAAGCAAATTTGTTATTGAAATCGAACATATCAAGAGATAAGTGTTACACGAGACAGCATCATCAGTTATAGGCTTCATCGCCATAATGCCACGATTATTAGTATTTATTTTCTTTCTGTCAATAAATTATGCGTAATAATTTGTGTTCCGAAATGTAGATTACGCTAATCTTACGTTAAGGTCACGAGTTCAACTTATATAAATAAAAACGTGAACAAAAATAGCAATCATTACACATTCTTCACATAATACTAACAGTGACTTTGTAAATAGTTTTTCTTGTGATTATTAAACGTATATTTACCTTGGCTATTTCTGGTGTGTTAGCCAGCATGAAAGCTTTGATTATCTGGGGAAAATTAAATGTGGAAGTCTCCTTGCCTAGCGCGTAGAAGCTGTTGTTTTTGTCGTTGTGTGAGTCCACCTTGAGACCAAAGGCGCAGGAGGCAATCACATCGTTAGCGTAACGGGTCGTCAGGTCTTTGCATTCTAAGTCTATGGAGCCACCTGTAAAGAAATATTAGAAATTTTATATTTATCATTGCGCTGTTTTTGTTTATACCGTTACAACTCACAAAATAATTTACTCTGTCCAGATAAAAACTAGCCAAATTATGTAGAAGGAAAACTTGCTCGAGCAGAGAAAATTAATTTAATTGGCGACCAAAAATTAATCTCATAATCTATAATTAACAAAAAAAGCTTGGCAACTTACTCTTAGATTCTTTTATAATTTTATGAAGCGATTGCATCATCTGTTTTCCGACTTCCACCATGAAGGGCACCATTAGACGCATCTTAGAGCTTGTGAACGCTGGACTCAAGGTGGAGCGCATATCTTTCCATTCTTGACCTGCAATTCAATCCGTAGTATTAGTATAGGTGGAAAATAATGATTACATTATTTTTCAACCAATTAGAGCTTGCTCTCAATACATATTCTTTTCTCTTTTATCAGTATTCAATAGAAGTTTCTTATAGGTTATCTATTAGAAATCTAAGTGACTGATGCCTTATTTTGGCAAAATAGGCGGATTGTTTTACATTATGCATACCTCTTAAAGAGAACAGGTTTCTAGAGAAGTAAGACTCGCTGTTGCCCAACAAGGGGCGGTGGTCGAGAAAGTGTTCGAAGTCTTTCACAGTCATTTTCTTAACCAGCTCGAGGTCACGAACCACAATCAACTCTTTGATGAATTCATATCTGCCAACGAACCTGAAAAATATAATATATTTTGTAATAATATTATTATGCTACTGAATTGTTGCATGTCGCACCCCCTCTACTTTCATTTTCCAAACAACCGTCTCCGAGGATTAGTTGTTGAAGTGGGGCATTAGTTCATGATCATTATCATTATCTGGAAGACGGCTTGAATGTAACTCTTGAACAAAGGCTTTACCTAAGTTCTCCACGTTGAACGACAACTCACCACTTGAATCCAATTATCTCCTCGTGATTCTGACGATGTCGTTGGTCCACCTAGTGGGCAACCTGCCTACACTACGTCTCGTTAGAGGAAAACCATTGTAATGTTAAAACATCTCACCTTTCCTCAGGGAACATGTTGTAAACCGTTGTGAGTCCATCACTGACATGTTCTGCGCGTAACACGACCTTGGACATGTTGCCAAGGATCGGGACTGGCTTGATGTGTTTGATGCCATGGCGGCTGAAGGAGGAGTACAGTCTTCTGAAGTACAGAGTTATCACGGCGATGAGCACCGCCAACCAGACTAGGAGGATAATCATGATCTGTAAAAGCGTTCAACTATTTCTTATTAATCACATAGAACATTACATTCATAAAATCTCATGCAGTCATGGAGTTTCTTGCTCTTGCCTTTGACAGGTATATCTAAATAAAAGCTTGTAAAAAACAACATTATCTAAGTAATTTGAGATATAATCGATTAATAGTAGATTTTGTTGGTTTCTTTGTTTACTCAATGACTTAGCTCTATCTATACATTATGTAGAACTAGATGTCGTACTAGATGTCACACAATATACGATAGATGCTTCTCTGAATACAAAAACAATATTGAAGCTAACATCCCAAAAAACCCTAAACTCTTCTGGAGTTTTATTAAACATAAAAGAGGAGGCAAATCATCAATACCTGCAACAATGAATTTAAAAGACCAGGTCGGAAACACAGGCCCTGAAATAGTAAATTTATTTGCAGAACATTTTGCCTCGATCTACTTGTCCGGCTCGGCTCCTTCGGATGCTGCTTTGCTTGCGACTCCGTGTCACGCGTCTTTACAACAGAGTTTGCATTCGCTCACGATAAAGGAGTTTGAGGTGCTTAAAGCGATTAAAAAAATTGACGCTGTGAAGGGTGCCGGCCCGGATGCGATTCCGCCTGTGTTTGTGAAAAGATGTGGTTCTGCGTTGGCTTTGCCTCTGACCTTAGTGTTCAATCGATCATTAGCAGATGGGACATTTCCGTCGGAGTGGAAAAGGGCACGCATTGTTCCGGTCTTTAAGAAAGGGGAAAATTCTGACGTTCAAAACTATCGTCCTATTTCCATTCTGTCCTGCTTTTCCAAGCTATTTGAGTCGATTGTTTATCCAGTGATCTGTCGGCTTGTGGATGACAGCATCTCAGATTCACAGCATGGTTTTAGACGTGGTCGCTCAGTCGTCACAAACCTGGTCCCTTACATTTCTAATATATCCAATGAAGTTGACTCGGGCAGGCAGGTTGACGCCATCTACACTGACTTTAGCAGTGCCTTTGATAAAGTTAACCACTCCGTTCTTCTGAGGAAATTGTATGGATTGGGTGTGGATGGGGCACTTTTGAAATGGTTTGAGTCCTATTTAGGGCAAAGACCTCAGTCGGTGGCTGTCAACGGATTTAACTCAAATATCTATTTTGCCGATACTGGTGTTCCTCAGGGATCGCATTTGGGACCTCTTCTGTTTGTAATCTTCATTAACGACATAGTTGAAAAAGTAAGACACTGCAAGGTGTCACTGTTTGCCGATGACCTCAAAATATATAAAACCATATATTCCGTTGGTGACTCTCGTCAACTACAGGGTGACCTGGACGCGATACTGGACTGGTGTCGCGTCAATGGTATGAATCTTAATGCCAGTAAATGTTTTCATATCAAATTTACAAGAAAAAGGAAGCCAATTGCAACGGAATACATGCTTGGTGATACAGCATTAGTGGAGGTCAACGAAATCCGGGATCTTGGCGTGATAGTTGATAGTCAGCTTAGGTTCACCTCACACATTGACAAGTCTGTCACAAAGGCGGCTCAAATGCTCGGATTTTTAAGACGGAACTCGACTGGATTTAAACATCAGCGCACTAAAATCTTGCTTTACCAATCCTTGGTCCGTAGTCATCTTGAGTTCGCCAGTGTTGTGTGGAGTCCGTTTTATGCGGTGCATTCGCAGCGCATTGAGAGTATACAGAGAGCGTTCACTAGACACCTTGCTTATAACACTGGTGGATTTTCTCACAGGAATCCCTATAAAGAGCGCTTGATTAGGTTTCGAATGCATTCTCTTCGTGAGCGAAGACTTTTGCTGGACATGACCTTCTTTCACAAAATCATAGGTGGTCATTACCGGTGTAGCTACTTTCTGGAGAACATGCCTCTGCGTGTCCCCCGTGTCTATCCTCGAGGAAAACTTAAATACATTTTCTACATTCCACCGGTAAAGTCTAATTTGGGACGGCAGGCACCTCTCCGTAGAATAATTGATGAGTACCACTCCCTTATCTCAATAATACCCGATCTTGACGTGTTCCACGATGGATTAAGAGTATTTAGAGGCAGGATTATTGATGCACTATAGTATCGTTTGTTATTGTTGTTGTTGGTGCTGCTTGCTGTTTTGTACTTTGACATCTGTTTTAAACTCTGACATTTCTTTATATTATTGAAATTATTTTGATTCTGATTTAATTGACATTTCTTTGAAATCTTGACGATGATTTGACATTTTATTATATTATATCTGTATTAAATTATTATTATTAGACTTAATATGGCATACATTCTAATTAATTTTTGTTGTTTTTGTTGTTAATTTGTTTTGTTTTAATCAGACATAAGATAATTATATAGAAAATTGAACTTGTTAAATTCTCGTTTCAATGTGTGTATGGTGTGGAATATTGTTGTTGTTTTATTTTCCGTAATTCTCAAATTGTATTTTATTTTTAAGCCACTGTTAAGCCTATGAATTGCCAATGCTATGTACGCCATTATTGTCGCATGCATCAGACCCTTATTTTGTTACTATTGTGTATTTTCAATGTTATATGTTTGTGATGTGGCCGTACTCCTTCGAATAAATAAA